ATTTGCCCGAGAAGCGAAGCTTCGAGGGCAAATATGCTAGTTTTAAGAACATCAAATTTCCAAGGGGCAACTAGCAGACCGATAGTTCCGAGACATAAACACTCTATTGTTTTTATTGTTCACCACTAAATTTTCTTCTGCGCCTACAGCTTGTCACAAATGTCAATAATTCGCAACAGTACATTGGCTAAATAATACGTTTTACCTGTCAGAATTGAAAAGTCACTGTTTTTCCGATCTGCCTAACTTCGCGGCCGTCAAACTATTCACAACTTTTCACGGACTGATGAGTACTATCAATCCAGGTATTTTCCGCGGACGGGCACGATCCATCCGGGTATTTTCCGCGGGCGGGCACTATGGACTAATAGTGTCTCTCCACGGATAAACACTATCGCGTCACGTGATCGATTTGAACCAATAAGAACCGGAGATAATTTAGTGGTGAACTATAATAATGGATAGCGTTATCCGACCTCTATACAACTAGGCTCAGACGGATAGTCATATCATGCACTACGACAACGAAGTATTTCTTCGACACTGGTGAAACAGATTAGAAGTATCCATCGTACGAACACTTCTGAACTTCCACTGAAAGCCACCTCAATCAGAAAGAAACCCACAAAATCAGAGAGTGAATAAATTAGTTTATTTCTGAGTTTGCAGTTTTCCTTCATTATTGACTGAATCAGTCTTGCGCTAAATCCCGTTTAAATCGTTCAACGCAGACGAATAGACCTAGATAATTAATTAATTCAATTAATGATTATGTAAAGATGAAAAAATCCGAGCCCCAGATGGGGGCTCTACAATTAATGATTAATCAATTAAAAGAAGCCAATTAACAAACCTTGTCAGAAGTTGTCATGCATTTCCTTCCTTAATTCCCGTTTGACTTTCTTGATTTTGAGGTGTCCTCATTTTCTACTTCGGATACTGTTCTGGGGAGAAAAAAAGAGACAATCCTATTGTGAATACGTACATACTCGATTGCTTTTCATAGTAAATAACAAACGCAAAAGTCTGGATCGAAAAGCTCATTAAGAGCCACCACATTTTTCGCTGCCAAATTTAATGTCCTTTAACTAGGCTTTCAATAACAAAATTTGTAATTGCTTGGCAATACAAATGGGTGTTTGGCAAGCTAAAAGGTCAATCGAGAAAGCTACTTGAAAAATATGTACAGGAATGAAAAAGAGAAATAAGTGACACGTACACAACACTTAACTTAAAATTTCTCGCTTTGTCCGAGAAAAGTCACGTTTAAGAAGAACTGTCATGGCGGCTGCCGCCGTGGATTTGTCCTACACTGAGTTATGTGTATTACGCTCTTCTTTCCTACATTTGACTAAGTAAATCAATTCTTCCTGAAAGGGCCACAAAGAGAAAAATAAATACTGTATAACTATCTAAATGTATTTTTCCAAAGGTTATTTTACCTGAAGAAAAGTCGAGATAGAGTGAAAAGCATGAATCCTCGACATGGTATCCGAACCACTTCATCCAGAATACAAAAATACACCGGACGACCTGGACAGAACAGACCATACCAAGCGGTAATAGTGTCGAAATGGAGTATTTCTTGGCTCCATAGAAACAACGAAAGATGCTCAAATCCCTTGTCGTTCGTAAGGTCTTTCCACGTGCAAGACTTAGAGAAAATATGAATATTGATTTTGAACATTATTGTAATTCAAATGAGTTTCCGACTTTAAAAGCCGGGTTCAAAATAATCGACATCGAGTTCTTCAGTATGATCAGTTCGATTTTGAAAAGATACCTCGTTTTAGACATAGTTTCAACTTAAGAAACAAAGTTCAATAGAGCTGCAAAAAATGTTGTAATTTTAGAAATATCGACTTGCACTTAAAAACATTTCGCTTGAAAAACGTCTTTTTCAGTCTGGTAATCAGAACTCTGCGTTATGTCGATCCGTGCTTTTCTTTTATGAGCATTTGGGGTAAACAAGGGGCTGCTGTTTTTCAACCTGCATCAGTGTAAACGAAACGCGCTACAAACTAATAAAGGCGTGAACATGTATATCTGCGTACATAAATACAATATCTTCAGGCCAGAGCAATTTTTCAAAGAAAAACATGAATGTAAGTTATTTGTACCACATAGTGTAGTTTTAATAGAGTTATAAACGACGAGGTTTTGTCGTTTTGTACTTTGAAATGACAGTATGTTGCCTGTTTTCTTCGACTGAGTTACGCATGCGTTAGAAAAATTTTATTAGGATGAAGTTCTACGATTAAAGAAAGAGTTACCTACAGTATCAGTTTTAAAATATCTTTGTATTTATTTCCTGGTCACCCATTACTCGGCTACTTTTGCTTTAAATTGATCTTATCTAATTGGGTTACAGCACCACATGCAAGAAGGAACTGCTTTTGTGTCAAATAAATTTCTCCATGGGCCATAAAACTACCTCAATATTGCCGGTGCACCACTGACGCAGTTCGGCAGCACGGAGACTAAGATACAAAGATGGTACCATTACTAATAGCTTTCAGTTCTTATACCTCATTTGAAAGCAGGCCCCTCGCTTCAGTATCACTTACGAAATTATGAACGACAGCAATGAAAACGAAGTACAGCAATATTCGTCATTCGTCATTTAACTTCTCATTCGCACCACAACATTCTTTATCTGTACGAACAACCATCGTTAGTAGAGGGAGAATGGCCAGTCCCCCTCTACTAACTATGGAACAACATAACGATTGAATCCACAACATGTCAACTCACCGTCACTGATGTTTTTTTTTTTTTGCACTGTTGTTTTTGCAGCAGAATAACAATGTCCAAAGCCTCTGATCCTGGCTGTGCACGATCTCACATTAAGCTGCTTGGTGTTCTTGTGGCAAGCAACGCAGCTAAGCCAACTCTCTTAAATCCCCACTCAGATACGGCTTGAAAAACCCTGTAAAGTAAGAGACCCTAAGGCCCGTTTCTCGAAAGTCCCGGTTACTAAGCTGTTCTGTTTTCATTTAAGATGGGGATTTCAAAAGTTTTGAAAATAATTCAATAAAATTATCAGCCACAGGAACAAAATGGACTGATTTTGGCTCAGTCATTTACTATCAATTTCACTTCTCATGATACAGACATTTCTTTCGGTTGGACACCTGCACTTGATACATTTTTACAATGTTGGAGATCCCAGGAAACAGGGTGCTGGCTTTGAAAATTAGAGGTTCTACATTCTGTCATCCAGTAAGATTTTATATCTTGGCAGTTTGAAGTTCAACTATTCCCATGCACCTAGTGAAGGCAAATGAAGTTGCCTGCCTGCAGTTTGGATTTCTAAACATTTACACCAAGTGAGTTCTATAAGTCTTCAAGCAGGCTCTCATTAATAGTACTGCGACACAGGTATCTCTTACTCGACGAGAAAGTCTCAGTCTGGAGTAAAGCCAGCCGGTAAGGGATCTGGTAAGGAGAACAGGGTGTAAAGTGACAAATAACACTTAGAAAATAGGAATGACAGTGGCCAAAAAATAGGAAATAAATAGGAATTCTCATCCCAAAATAGGAAAAAAATAGGAGGATTTCTTTGAGTTCTATCCTCTTAACACTCCCAACAGAAACTCTGTTCCACAACCCAATGCTTTAACATCGCTAATGCATTGCAGGCCCACTTCAACATGGCAAATGCACATGCATGCAAATGAACCTCCTAGAATTCCTTGCATGTTATCAAAAGCACTGAGAAAGTCTAGTTTCAGAAGAAAATCACTCAAAGGCTTTAAACTGGTCTTTTTTGACATGATGTTTCAGTTTTTTGTAGAATTTATAAATTTCATTTGCAAGTTTATCTCAAATATTTCAAAATGTTTCTGTGTACCTACTAAAACCCTAAAAAAAATAGGAAATACTAGGAATTTCATGAAAAAATAGGAGAAAATAGGAGGCAGGCCAAAAAATAGGAAAAAATAGGAACTTGACACCCTGGGAGAATTTAATCAACAATCAAGAGCTTGTTTAGTTGGTGACCATTTCCTCTATTCTCAGGACCCTATTGTGTGATTCAGGGTCAAAGGGTTGCTAATGCCAAACTTTTTTCTAGGGATTCAACAATTGCAACTTGTTTCTTCAGCAAAAATTTAAAAAAGGTTCAAAAAGACTTTGAATTCTGCCTTTCATCTCTTTGCTTTGAAAGTAAACAAACAAACAAACAAAAAAATAGGTGCAAGTAAAAGTGGCTTCCCATAACTGAGCATAAAGAAGGACTGCACGTTTATTGTTTACTTGTTGAGTACAACTTAACTTCAGTGGATTTTGCATAAAGATCTGCATTCTGCCTGAATGAACTTTTTTCCTAAAGTATCTTGAATTTCTATACTTACATCAGAAAGTTTGACAATAATTGGTCACATGACCAACTGCTGCAACAGACCCATTCAACATCAATTATCTAATACTGTACAATAATGCTTTTTCTTTTTTTTTTTTTTAAAGTGAAATACAAACTTTAAGGGCCGTTTATTTACACAAGGTCTAACCCAGACCACGGATTTACACAAGCAGTGGGCCTTACATATTCCCTATATGAGGGGTTTTTTCATTTAACTAAATGCCCTTCCACTGCTAGCTTTGGCCCTCTTGACACTGTTCACAAAAATGAATTTTCAAATAAACTATTCAGCTAAATTCAAGATTGCTTAGAACACAGTTCTGTTAAACAATGGCTAAACGTTGTTTAAATAACTGGCCTAGGAGTCTTCCATGATCTAATAGTATGGTCTTCTGGGATTATTCTGAAAAAGAAGGAAAACAAAATGTCTTAATTGGCATCTGTCCAGGGAGCAATCTGGCTATTCTTACGTATTTGGAGGAAATTCTTTTGATACGGAAGAGCTGCAGAAAACATATTCAAAGAACAGACAAACTGTGGAAAGTTCAATTGTTAAAAAATGCTACTACTCAGGGTTACATTAACCTTAATAAATCAAAATCCTAGCACAACAAGTAAATAAAATTTTTTAACGATGGAAAAATTCTTACTAAAGGATTGGGTCTAAATCTGTATGCTAACATCATCCTCTTTCGATACAAGTCAAACTCATCATCCTCCTTGTTTATTTCACCAGGCTTGTCTTCACCCAGACCTCCAATATCCTCTGGTGCACGACCCCTGCCATTGCTGAAACACATACATAGGTACACATTAGCCAATAAATATGGTTGAACTTTATATAGTATTTAAATAAAAAAAATATTAATTAGTTAATTAGTTTAAGCTCTTTAAATTGAAGCTGTGAACTCCTAATCTATTGAAGAGTGTGCTCACATAAACAAAAGCTACATTATTGCAATACCAGTAATTAATCATTGTGTGGCCTAGAAGCAATGTGAGCCTTGAGGTCTCCCCACCTCAGGTTACCCTGTTACTATGAAGCTAAGAGAAGCATTGCTTTGCCTCCTTTCTATGACACTAGCCTGCAGTGTAGCATTTCTTCAAATTTCTACACAACAGTTTACTCCTTAGCCTGTTCCAGGCTTACAGTTAGCAGGAAGGAGCATGATATCAAAATGAAAAGCAAAATTGTAGTGGAAGTAGAGTGAAAAAAGCAGAAAGTTTGGGTTGAGGGAGGTTTTATTCACTGTGACCCAAATCTCCTGCTTTTTCTAACTCCACTGCTACTATTGTGTGTTTTTATTTTAGCATCAAGCTCAGTCCTTTTAACCTTTTAACTCCCAGAAGTGATTCAAACATGTAACTTCTCCCTGTAATATCTATACATTATCCAGCAAACAGGTAATGAGAATACATGTACTCAAACTTATCAGGTTGTTACCTTGACCTAACACCAAATTCTCCTGCCTAATTTACTAGGAAATATGTAGCAGCTAGAGGGGAGAATTCACAATCATATCAGAGGAGTTCAAGGGCAAACTGAATGCCTAGAACAGGCTATCTACTCCTGTCCACTCATATCCCTAGAAGAGAATACTTAAAATGAGGGTAACATTTTCTGCTCTAGATAGAACAAAGTAATTTGATGAGGGGTGAAACATGAATCTCTTGAAACCTGCCGTGGGTTGTTTAACACCTGACCACCACATCGGCTATACATGCAATTATCACTGACATTGACAATACTACATTTTCCCCCCAATCAATCAGATTAAAAGACCAACAAGAAATCACCATTAGGGGAGCTATAATGACATGATTCTCAAAAACTAGTTCACTTTCTAAGCCTACAATTCCTTACAAATTATTAATACACACTAAAAGTAATGTTCAGTGTTCTGTACTGTACCTATTCACAGGTGCTGTGATCCCCTGTCCTTGAGATCCAAGTCCCATCCCTTCCTTCCATCCAGCTTGTTGTAGCATTTTGTACCCAATGTTACTCTCTGTTATCTTATGCTCAGCATAGTCAGAGAAATCAAAGCTGTCCAATGATGACTCTCCTTTTATAGCTTTGACTTTGGCTGTAAACTTTTTCAGTTCTTCTGGAGGAAGGAAGTCACCAAGATGATGCTTTCCCTTTCCTTTTTCAGTAAGTTCTTGGGCTTTGTCTGAAGCAAATGAGAGATTTGATGAAAGCTGATAAAATAGTACTCTATCTATCCAGTAACCTTAAGGTTTGACTCGATGCTAACCCTTTCACATACAAGATCTATATTTTTTTCCACACTGAACATATTGCAATATTTTCCACAGCTAAACATATTGCCAAATGATTGAACTGCTACTTTTTTACAGTAAACAATACAACTGCTACTTTTAATAGTTTACAGATTGGTTGCCACTGTAATGTAAAATTAAGACAATTTTTTTTTCCTTCCCCAAAAGACTTCTTAGGAGATTACCACTCGGGAGATATGAATGTCAACTAAAATCTCAGAGCTAACCAAAAAGAGAAAGATGTTATATGAAGCTCAGTTAGGAAAATAAACTTTCAGATAGAAAGAGTGTAAGGTAAGAGTAATAAACAAGTTTTCCAAACCTATTGTTTTACTCATCTCCTTTTTTCTTCTTTTATGTTCCCATGTGCCACCTTCTATGTCCTCATCTGAGTCATACTCATATTTTGGTTTTTCTTTGTCTTGCTTTACTGCTGCACTAGCCTGACCAGCTGTACGTTGAGCTAATATTCTCATGTACATCTCTTGAATCTAGAACAAACAATACCATTTGTACCTTTGGTTTGATAGTTCTAAATGAGCAACACAATGACAACATTTTGAACCATGCAATAACAGGATAAATCCATGTTTAGAGGTCAACCAAACCACAACAGAGATGAAAAAAAAAAGGACATGGCAAAACAAAAGATCTAGTGGGTAAAAGAATTGCTCAACATGTGCTTTTCAAATTTTTGTACATTTCTTAGCTGTCCTCTGCAAAACAACGTGAAATCACCAAATTTGTGCAGAACTTAATGTTGCTCACATGCATCATGCTGCAGTAAAGATGAGGCATTATAAGAGACAGTAAACACAGCCACCTTTTCTAGGAAGAAAAATTATTTTTTTAATCAACATCTCCCTCAGTGTTGCTATCCTGTCGGCTTAATTTAGGTCCTAAATATCTTTCACACACAGTATTATGGACAAAGAACAGTGTTCTTATGAATGAAAAGTTTTTCCACATTTATCACAGAATAATATTACCTCTTGCTGTTCTTTAATCTGTTTCTGTCGTTCTTCCTCCTCTTTATTACTCATTGGTATGCTGTGCTCAATTTCTGCTGCCACAGCCAAAGCAGCAGCAACTGCCGCATCACTGGTAGAAGATGATGATGATGATGAGCCAGCTGATTTCGGAGGGTTTGGATCCCACCTACTTTTCCTTTTCCTCTTTTGCATTCCACTGCTTGCATTACTTTCACTTTCGACACCTTTGCTAGCTCCTTGTCCCATAGGTCTTAAACATTTAACTAGATTTTTGTAGTATTTGTGACCTTGACTATTGACATCAAACAAAAACCTGTCGTAAAAGAGAAAATAGAAAAAGGAAAGTCAGTTTTTAAAGAGTCCCTGAAAGGATTTCTTACTTGGTCTACAAAGATTTGTTTCATATCTAAGTTCTGTCATTCATAATAGATTTATATCCACTCTTTAACTGATGGTATCCCCAGTGAGTGTTGAAAAACTGATTGATTCTCCTTTTTAATCAGCCCTTTATATTCTTGTGAATCAAATGGAGAACTTCAACTTCAATCATGAGCATCTTAAAACACACTCCTTTCTATGATTCATGTTAGGTTTCCTACACATATTTGTAAACCAAATTCAAGACTTATCATATAATTTTTTCTTTCAGTTTCCATTTTCCAGACTACAGGTTTTTAGTACTGTCAGAAAAGGGCAAGGACAGAATAGCAATTACCATGGGTTTAACCCAATTCCACTAATAAAACATTGAACTGTTCCAATACCTAACAAAGATCTCATATAACAACTATGAAGCACTTGTCCTGACTAAGAAATCTATGTTCCCTTATTAAAAATCCTTGATTTCTATTTTCCAAAATTATTACAATCTTTCTCACTCTGTGAGCACAATGTCCTGACGCCAAGTCATTCTTTATGCAAGAACCAAAATTGATCCCTCCCATTAGACAGTTATTTCACTGATTATTAACTCTTATTCTTACAAAAGTTTGTTGGTATTTTCATTGACAAACTACAGAGCCACTTGAGTATTTATTTCTGCTGCAAAAAGGCTCTGCATTCCACAGTTCTTAAAGAAATAGTAGTTGCAGAGGCCAGGAATGCACTTAAATAACTTGAACTACTTTCAGAATAAGACATCTTTTAATGCAACTTAACCTAAAGTTCTTTTTGACTGATGATGCTTGAAGAGCGAAATATATTTAAAGATTCTTAAAGTGTTATTTTATTTTTACAGTTTCTATACGTGCCTCGAATGTGATACTCAAGGCCTGATGTCTTATTCTGTAAGTAGATATATCTTATTAGACATTTTGTGTAGTATCGCTAAGTATTTTTACAAGTTGTGCCATATTTTGACGAGCCCATAGGGCGAGTCAAAATACAAATAATGAGTTAAAATACTCAGTGATACTACACAACAAAATGTCTAATAAGTTATTTATTATCCAACACGCCAAACTGTTGGTTCAGTGTGGGCAAATTTCGCAGATTTTTATTTACAGGGAGTGCATGACAGAAGTATGCGAAGCAGAACGGATTTTCTTCATTAAATGAAGAAATTTTCTAGTCGTCAAGCTGTTTTTCTTCATTCGATTCATCTAATGAACTTGGATCTATATTTGCCAGCCATTCTGACTCTTCGTTGTTGGAAATATGATTCAAATTGTCCGCCACTTTCTTTTTCATAACTACAATCCAATTCTTAGCTTGCACTATGCAAGAAAACCTGTTTAACCGATACTACAATAGACGAGTACAAATACCGCCTGATATTTGTACTCGTCTATGGCGTTATTTGTACTCATCTAGGTGTAGTTGGATAATAATTCAAGTTATTCCACAGTTCAAATCCATAATAAAACGGGAGTAAATAAAGACTACACTGCCACTGACATCCACCTTGTTGGCACTCTCTAGAGAATGAGGTATAACATTATCCCTTTCACTCCTAAGAGTGACCAAGACAGAATTTCTCCTTACAATATTAATATAAAATCAAGCAGATAAGTGATGAGAAAAAAGAAAAAAAAAGTATCATCAGTTGATCCAATACCAAATTCTTCCAACTAACATAATGAGAATTGTATTATAGACAGTGAGGAGAATTACTTATGAAATCTTGGAAGTGAAAGGATTCTATGGTAAGCTGAATCATTCGCACATTTTGATGGGTTTTTACTGATGAAAAACTGGAGGACAGATGCATCACCATCAACAACATCTTGCTATTTTATCAAATAAAGCAAAGAGATTCCATCTTATTGTGGGTTTTTTTACAATAGTGGATCACAGAAGATGTCAAAATGCGTTAAAAACATAAGTGATACATTCGGCTGTGCCTTTTGTGCCACTTTTTTTTTTTACTCTTACCACATTTTGATGCCATCTGTGATCTACATGTACTCTTGAACTGACGTATGGTAAAATGGAATCTATTTGTTAATTAGCTATGACAAACCTACCTATAATTTGGGTTGTTTGAGTTGTTTTGTATAGCAATACCTTCCACCTGGTCACCTCCTCGCACGACTCTGGCTGCCAGAACTTCAATGCTTTCAAGCATTTCTTTATCCTCTGGTGGGGGAACTTAATTATACCGCTCATCAGAACATTTTCTAGTACTTAGTGAGATCAAAATTACACCATACTGAAACACTAGCTCGTTTGGCAACGATCAGCATCTAGCTATCGAGATCAGCTCAGAAACTACGAAGCGAAAGCTTCGAAATGAAATTCAAATTACCATTTTCTTCCACTTCTTCTGGATCCTCGAATACCTCGGGTCTTGCGGACACAGGTTTAACTGGCGTAGGTTTTTTGACTGTAGTTAGCTTCATGCTTACAGTGGGACGAGATTCTGGGCCTGCAATAGTTGCGGTTGAAGAAGAAGGACTACATGTATTTTGTTGTTGCATCGCTTGAAAGCGAGCTAGGAAATTGCCATCGTTCAGAAACATTGGACCCGCCCGGGGAGCCGTCGGTGTATTCCCATCGCTCGAGGGAGGAAGGGGTGGCGGTTTTTCTTGCTCAGTTTTCTTTTTCTCCGCAATGCGACGGAGCAGTTCTTGCTTCTTGTCTTCAACTGATTTTTGACGGTCATTCATGGACGCCATCTTGTATTCACGGTGTTCTCTTACCCATAATGCAATGCGCAACTGATAATCTAGAGCGCATCAGCGGCCGCGTGAAATTAAACTGACCGTTGCTGGGACAAACATTTCCGCTTTTTAACGAAAAGCAAATCCATGAGCCGGCACTTGAAGTTGCTTGTAAAACTGTGATTGAGAGCTGAAAAATGATTACAAATTTTTCTAGAGAATTTTGCGAAAGGCCGGATGTGTTTTAACAACGCTGGTCGCAGTTTCAACTGTGCCTGGGGAAACCAATCTGCAACTTCAGGGTATCACGGTGCGGCCAGTGTTGAGTTCCATAGTTTCCCGTGGGGGTTCCCGTTCGCAAACCATGCAAATATCGGTAAATTAACGATGCTGTTTTGCAGAAGACCTCAGGATATTCACAAAATTTAAAAACGCATGAGCCGAGCTATTGCTCAGATTGCGGTCGTACGAATCAGGACAACGCTACTTAAGCGGATAAATCTCTCCGGTGAATGGCGCAGTACGTTTTATTAAAACTTATCTGCTGCATGGATAGCGATTTACCCTTTGGATAGTGTTATCCTTCTTATGAGCAACTGGGCTCTTTGTTTATTACAATGTTTTGCCACGTTCTCGTTACTGTCACTGTTGTAGTTTTCCAAATTAAAGAACACTATTACTTAATTTGAGACGAACCCAACAGCTTTATAGGCTGGCGTGTGTACTAAGCCGGCGGAAAAAGATCGCGCGGGCGGTGAATGTGCTCTCATCGAAGCTGCAATACGAACCCACCGCAATAGCAACCTTGAAGACACTCGACATTTATGCAAATATTAACAACAATAGTTTTAAACAACAACAAACATATGAAACATATGTATGTTGTTACTGCGAAGGATCGTTCACATATACGAACAATAGTTTTCATACTTGAGAAACAAGGTGGAAACACCTTTGTTACACTACGCAATTTGTCGCTTCAACATCACGTGTTTTAAAAAAATGATAAGAAAAAAAAATGCTGGAAAAGGCCAAAGGAAAACAACCAAAAGAATATTAGATAGCCAAAGAAAAACTGTTTTTTTTTTTCAGAGTTTACCATTTTGTGATGTGAAAAGAGCTCTTCGTACTGAGTGAAACACAGGAATTATAAGAAAATCCACGTTTTTAATTGGTCACTATATGGGTCGAAATTATCATAATTCCAGCTTTGATGACTTCTTCTTCGTATGGCTGTTTTTCCTTCCACATATGTTAGGAAAGCGAGAAGCATGACTATTCTTGCTGCTATACCTTTCATCCTTGCACTCGATATTGGTAAGTAACCATCACACTTAATCACCGCTTTCAAATTTAAAACCAAAATTCCAAATACACCTTACGACGCGAAAATTTTAACTTTTACGGTAAATTTACTTTCTCAACTTGATGTATATAAGAAATAAGCAATCCATAATTTATTTTGCACAGAAACTATTCACATACTTAGTTTTCCAGGCTTTAAATCAACGTAAAATTCTTTGATAACTGTTTTCTTGGTAATTTTTTTATTGAGTCCAGCTTGAGCTCTTTGAATATGTCCATTGCGATTATTTCTAATCTCATTTGAATTTTGGCAAATTTCGATTGGGAATGTAAGAAAACTAATGAAAAAAATCACATCATAAAGAACAAACTTCGCTAAGGAGTACGTTTTTAGTGCAAGTTTAACGTATTTCAACACGATTCGTTAGTAAAGTACAAAGTTTGGTAGTTCGGTGTTTATTGGAACCTGGAATTTTATGTCTTTTGAGCCTTCACGGTATGTCAAAATATTGGTCAGTGGAAACGATCAAGAAATAAGGCAGGCGAAAAATGAAGGGACTCTGGGAAAAACAACAGCCCCCACCACCGTTTCCCAGCCGAGGGACCGCTGTTTTAAATGATTAACACGACAGTACATTCACAGTGCGCTGTTTGAAGTGTTTTCACTGTATGAGTACCAGCAGCTGGGAAGAATGTGGTGGAAGTCAAAAGGTACAGGACTGCCCAGCACATTACACTCGCTGCCTCAACGCAACAATTATTCTGCCGCCGTCTAATGGCGCCGAAATCAAACAGTACATCAGAGGGTGCAATATGAAGAAAATATGCGACAGACCGGAGCGGGCTACTGAAGAGTGCAAGAACCTGACAAGCGACTCTCCTCGAGGCGAAAACATTACATGTGACGCGACTTGTTGCACGGTAGACCTGTGTAACGAGTCTGCAGTAATGACGACCAGCTCTATCATGCTGTTCGCATGCATAACATGGGTGTTGGCTCGTTAAGTTAAGTTTGAAGAGAATATTTCAGAATTACGGGATAAATATTTCGAAAGAGGATCATTGCAGTTACTTAAAGGAAGTGTAAAAATATAGTCTACGGAAAAATTAAAAAGTCCACTTTTAAGTATTGTCAGGACACAGTAACAACAAGATACAATCTTCTATGTTTCTGATTACCCTAAGGCCATCGAGAAGTAAATGTCTTTTATTGTATTTTTTATCACAATGTTCCGGCCTAGCCACCTTCGGGTGTAATTTAAGAGTCTTAGTTCACAATTGTTTTTCGTTTACGAAACATGGAGCTAGGCTCATACTGAGTGGGGCTCCCACGAATATCGAAATAGGGCAGTTGTTTAAAATAGAGCGTTTTTGATAATGAATTGAAGTAAACATTACTTTGAAAACCTTTTGACTGTTTGTTCTTTAAATGTTCCGAGCTTTAGTAACATTTGGCAAGTGGTAATTCTAAATTCGCCATAGTTTTTATCAACGGGTAATTTGAGATCGAACATTTTCCTAATCGTATTCCTTCAAGGAATTCCAAAATATCTGTTCGGATGGGTTCACGTGGACACATCTTTCAATCAGACGTTTCTTAGCTGCCTCAGACAGGTCTCCGTCCTTAGTAAGGCGGTAATAAATCAGATCTAATCGCTTGTTACCATGGTACTTGGCTTCAGAAATAAGATCCTAAGGTAGTGGTAAAATCAATGAGAAAGTAAGTGACATCAGCCTGCCAGCAAAATAAGGGGGGAGGGGGGATTGCGTTTCTTAAGAAACTTTAGTGAGTCGTCGACATAGGGGTATAAAAGGATAATTGAATTTTCGACTGAGTTGGTGATGTAAAGCTGACGGTTCGAGCATTAGCCATTCGTCAAGGCCCTTTCTAATCTCGTGCCCAGACCCTACGACTAACTTACAATCGCTTGGCCGTGGAAGGTCTGGGTACGAGACTAGGCGCTTCCTTTAACCCCTTATGATGACGAAGGGCTAACGTTCGAAACGTCAGTTCCAGAAACTCTCCACGGTAGCCATTTTTCATTATCGACTCAGTTGACAAAACCAGTTCAGCCTGCCCTAATCGAGAGCACATAGCAAAAAAGACCTATTATAAAAAAGAAACAATAGAAAAAAAAAAAAAAAACAGGCTCAACTATGCCCATTTTGGGAACTACTATCTCGTAGCATATATCTTTTAAACAGCCCCAAGCAGAAACTTCATTCATCTCTAGCCGGAAATCGCGCAGATCTTCGGCACAGTAGTCTCCCTTGTGGACTTTTGTCCACACCTGCTCTAATGACCTTCGTAGTGAAGTGGAAATTTGAGTCAGTTATTTACCTGGGCAGCGGAGAGATCTTTCTTCTTCATATAAATTGATAGCAGCCAGTACTGAGCTATCGCTGAGCCAGACGCTGTGCCAGACTCTATCACATGTTGGAAGGCTCTTCTAGATGCCCTGCAAAGATAGGACATGACAAAACTCAATAAGAATGGAACATATTTGAGCAAAAGTAAATTAAGAAGAAAATTTTTCACGAGAAGAGATTTGATAACTATAAAAATACAAAAAAAAAAAGTTTCTTAAAAAAATGCAATCTTTCCGTTTCGAGAAGCAAATCTAACAGTTCTCCTAAGTGAAGATTATCTCTTATCGCCGGAAGTAGTTGGAGATGGCGGAAAGTTGCCAGCTTTCAATGTACTGTCTGAATAACACAACGCTAACAATACAGCTAACTATTTATCAAAATAAATTTAGTCACAAATATATTTATTTCCTCTTTGTTACTTGGGAAAATAATAGTTGAATTTTTGCCAATTCTGCTGCCTTCCTTAACCAGCTTTTTTCAAAATGTGCCTGACAATTAACATGTTAACTTGAAAGATGTTTCCCTACCTTGCATTGTCTTGAAGAAAATGTAGAATCCCTTGAATAAGATAGGCAGCTGAAACACTTGAATTCAACTTTAGGACCTGGATTGAACCGTGAATATAGTTAAGTACTTCAAGGCCCGTAGCTATTTACCTCAGCCCTTTAAAAGTATGCATAAGAGTCCCGCATCTCTATTCTAAAAAGAAATTAATTTTTTTCTTCTTTAAATTACCCTTATTTGAACTGTAGTTTTCATTGCCCGGCCATTCTTTATTCAGAGAAAATTCAACCGTCACAAGTGATACAAGATCGAGATGGTTTATTCTTCGTTACGCTGTGTGATTGGTCTGGAAAAACTTGCGCAACATTTTAAAACCAGTAAGATACAACTCCATAAAAACGGCTTGTTCATCGTGGTGAAGTACAATAATAATAAAGTACCATCGTTTGTCTCACGATGCGGTCACATAGCAGCGGAGCATCCTGCTTTACAAGAAGACTGGAAACCAGTCGACCCTATTGCCTGATGAAGACTAGCAGTATGCAGTCGAAACGTCGCTATTCACGCCATAAGTGACCACATCGAGAAACAAACGATGATATTTTATTATTAGTAAGATACAACTCTAAAACTAATCAGGTTTTCTCGGCGTTTGCGCAGTTTGCTCGTTTCCAATTCGAGTTTTAATGAGCTCTTTTATTATTTACTACTTTTCTAAATGTTCAATAAGGAAGCATCGTATGAGAAGAATTGTTACAAACCTCGTTTGAAGCTTCAAGAGAAAGATTTATCCAACGGTCTCGGTCAGCGGACTGCGACTGCTGAAGAAAAATAGAATTGAGTCAAAAAAGGAAGTTCACCAAACAGACGAACAAACAACGAAAAAAAATTACTTAAAAATCGCAGTGTATCTCCTTGAACCGTCTAGCAGTTGTAAAAACGACGCTCAGAAAATTCGAAGATCGCCGCTGCCTCATTGTTCTACACGGTGTTAGGAATACCATCTGCATACCTGTACCATTTGGACAGCTAACAACGCCAGTCTTATCAACGGGACAGTTCGCCAGCTTTGAGCTCTAAAAAAGGTTATAAGTTTGTTAATCAAATGCATATGTCAACTTCGGTATATGATCGACGAGGATGATTAACTTTTAACTCTTAGCTTTAATGAGGAGCTCATGAAGGTAGTCAGCGGTAGTGCGTGCTCCAAAGCGCAAATTTCATACGGGAATGGGAGATCTACTGGACTGACTAATTTAGTAACAAATTCGCGGAACAGTGTCTTATAACAGCCGTGTCGTGGTTTGTCTCGTATTTCACGATGTACTTAATGGTTGATTTGAGGGTGGCACAGGAATCTGTGCTAGTGCGCCTTTCCTAGTTCTTCCATAACCTTACTCATTGGGGCGTTCCTCTGCAGCTAATTTTCTTACCTGCTGTCCATTCCCGCCTGCAGACACTGTCGATAGCAAAGCTCGGCCGCCATTGATGCGCCTTGATGAGCTTGTACTTGAGCTAAAACCTGTTAAAAATACTACCGATGGTTTTAAGAGGATCGTAAAAGAGGACTCTGGAAAATATCGCAAGGATTATGTGGGAATTCAAAGTAAAAAACAAGCAAGCTGGTTAAAGCGCGGGAAAAAGCGGCTAACCGTATCGCAGTTGATCGAGTCTTTCATCTGATTGGTCGAGAGGGTGGTGTGAGTTTTCTGGACCAATCACAGAGCGAAGTAAGTGTAAAGCAAAACATACAATATCTAACTTTTGACTGAGTTTGGTCGGGCCGGACTGGAAATTATTGGCTCGTGCGTCATGTTTTTCTACATGTTTGCGTGAGCGGGGCCGGACAAGTCAAATGATAAACAACCTAAGACTTCTCCCTACAATCAAATGAAAATAAATCTCAACTTATGGGACAGAAAATGAGACTTAAGTTGTAACTTTACCTGCCAGGCATTTGATGAATGCGTGGGACTGGACAATAGAGATGTTTGTAACATGTTTAGTCCAGTCTCCACAGGTTCTCCGCTGGCTAGTAACACTTGAGCCTTTAAGAAGTGAAGTTGGGCGGAGATTTGGGGGACTGAACTGTACACCAATAACGCCTGCAAGACAAAAACAAGGATTAGACCTACCTGTTGTAAAAATAGCACAGGCAGCCTGACATTTGGTCGTACAATTGGAAGATAAAACTCGTTATATCAAGTAAAGTAAGTACAACTGGGAGTTCATTTACAATTTGCGTACGTTTTTCACCAGCAAAGAAACAAGACAAGGATTACTCAAATTTCACTTGACATAAAAACATCATAGCTCGGAAGGTCCTGCAAGAGAGGATGGCGCGAGATATTTGGACCAAAAGTAATTAAAAAACAAAGCAATCTCGTATTACTTTCGACACCCAGTTGATATGGCAGAGCAGACAGGAGGGATTCATCCGAGTCGCACTTACCTTGTCAACAAGTACAGCAGCCTCTTGTTGCAATCCAGCATGCAGGAGAGAGTAACCATGGTGAATAATAGCCCAGGACTGCAGAATCTCCAGGTGACTGGTCCTTAATTTAACAAGGGCTGGCAGCTGATGATCAGATAAGGACTTCAGAGCCCCTTCCTCCCGGTGAGCTGTATCGTAAAACATTATAAGGGTGAAACACGACAGCAAAAAAGACCTCCTTTTACAGGGTGGCTTAGAAATGTTACACTCGGCAATCATGAGATTATAAGCTCGAGAGTTTTATCGTGAGATGAGGGTTAAGCGTAGAAATCCAGACTGAGTAATTAAATCATTTTAGTATAAATCGACAGAGTTGAATAAGGTGTTACAGAACAACTTCCTAAAACTTTGTACACGCCCTAAATATTTTCGAAAATTAATATTCTCCTTAAAATCTTTGGAAATAGGAAAATGCCTTCGGCGACAACAAAATGCCTCGGTTTTAAATGCCAGCTCCTTATTATTTGCGCAAATTTCGCTGAATTTCAAACCTCGCACGCTTGGAAACGCGTTGTTGACTGCACACCTTTGATGTTATTCAGCTCCGTCGTATAAATCTACTAGCCACTAAAAACTTTAAAACAGGGCCATTACTTACACAAAGATCACGCCGTGTTTTTAGATAATCAGTGGACTTCGAGATTTCTCTATACAGGGTAAGTGTTTTTTTTTTTTAAGTAAATAAATATTTTGCCAGTGTGAGCTTTAGGCCTTCTTGACAAACAAGTTTAGAAAGCAAACACAGGCAATTTTGCTGGGCGACGGCTAGACTTCGTATATCTAACTGGCCCTGTAATCTAATCCCCGATTTTTCGAACCTTTCCAAAATTAACACCATGGACCCTCTTACAACGAAGTTTCCTTGTACATCCTATACCTGCTGACTCCACAAACTGAGAGAGCCTGGCGCCAAGACGGCTTTTGTCCCTCCCCAGTTCTTCGCGACTCTTAGCTATATCGTGAGCTGTAACAGAAGTCGCTAGCACTGCCCAGCTAGATACATGATCAGGATGCGCATGAACAGCCTTCTGGGATTCCTTAAGACCTGTGGGAGTCCTGTATGTAGCACGCGTGTGATTGACTTTTCTAACGTCGTGACGCAAGAAACCCGAGCCCACGATACCGGCTGGCTGGAAAGCGGGGTTTTGCTGTTGATAGAGGAAAAAATCTCTATAAGAAACTATGCTCGTTGGTGTTGGTGCTTTGTTCTCCATTTACTTTATGCAGAGTATAGTTGGAAAATTTTCACTGGAATAGCTTAAGTTCTAAAGTCGTACAAAATAAGTGCCAGGTAACAGAAAATTTTCGAACAGACCTCTGATGAATGACTTCCTCCAAGTGTTGCAGAAGATTCAGAGCAGCGAGCCGCAGCCTACAAAAAAAAAGAAACAAAAACAGATTTGGAACAGCAGACAAAAAATAACCATCAACTTACTCTTTGCCGAGCCAAGACGCGACAATAATAAAGGATATCGTCATCTAGCTACGAATTTGTTTGAGAGCCTCCCTTTCCCACGCTCAAGTCAGTTCTGTTTGATCAATCGGCAGTTGTAAAGAAAAGTTCCCCTCGACTGTCGGCCGGTGCTCGGCCGACAGGTTTTTTCAGGGGGTCATTCTTCACAATTCTGAGCGATCAGTCAGTTTATGCATTTTCCTTCGGAAGTTAGCGAGAGCATGCGTGCCTTCATGCTAACACGTTTTGTGTTAGCGCGTGGAGTCTCCTGAGACTCCAGTTGAGTATATTAAGGAGTGTCTTCCTTGATATATTCATCAAGAGTGACACTACTCGGTGGTGCTTCAGTTCATATTTTCGGCTTACTTTATTTTATTGGTTAGTTTATTTTAACTTTTTTGGTGGTCGCTCTGCGTCTGCGTTACTTGTTTTTTTCCTTTTCAGGCCTTCGAATGTCTTCTGCGACAGACATCTGCTTCAGATGCGGAAAAAGAGGCCACTGGAGTTCTACTTGCGGAGGACTTCACGACGGATTCGGACCTGCAAGCCAGCGGCTCAAAGGAGCAGTTAGCACAGCATTCGGGGATCAACCCCGTAAACCAGTTGAGTGATGACACGGCTGGCGTTTTTGAGGACATTATTAAGGTAGACGATACGTTTTCTCCAACTTATGAATTAGAGGCGGGTACATCGGAACCTAGTTTAGCTCCTTTACCCGTTAAAGGTAGACTAAAAGGTCACGTCCAGTTTTGGAAAAGAATAAACGCTCCCTCTTTCATCACGGAATGCATTACAGAGGGCTACAAGATACCTTTCTATCTTACTCCGCCAACGGCAGAGTTCAAGAATAATTCATCTGCTTTGAAACACTCCGACTTTGTCCAATCGGCGATTCTAGAGTTGTTTACCTCCGGGAGAGTTTGTAAAGTTTCCAAGTGCTACCTCAGGGTTATTAATCCCCTCTCTGTTTCCATCCAGAGTTGCGGGAAAAAACGCTTAATTTTGGACTCAAGATATGTGAATCGATATATCTTTAAGCAGAATTTCAAGTTTGATGATTGGAGAGTTGGGATAGATTATTTTGAGAAAGGTAGTTACTTCACTAAGTTTGACCTTAAAAGTGGGTATCACCATTTAGATATTTTTCCCGACCACCAACGTTTCCTTGGGTTTAGCTGGGTCATGTCTGATCC